GCTGAGCCTACTCTTCTATTTATCTTCTGATCGAGGTCAAACAACCCTCCATTCAAACTGAAATGAAGCTGGACTCCAGATCATTTACTCATACATGATTCTTCAAGGGTTGCCTAGTGTTGACTAAGCATCCTTGATGAAATCCACTATCACCTTAACAAGATGCTGTACAGCAAGCATTGTCAATGATCTAAAATGGTTTACATATAGCATTCTACGTGTTAATCAACTTACTCGTACGGAGCCACCATGCAGCGGCAAATGGCGGCCTTGGCTGACATGGGTGCAGTAAAACAAATTTGCGTCGCAATAACCAATATTAATCTGCATTCAGTACAATTCACATCTGGTGTTAATTGCGATAAAAATGATGAAAAAATCATGCAAATAAATCACTCATTTTAAATTAATACCCAGTTTGAACACAAAACAAGAACAAGATACGATGCCGCACACAACTAAGTTATATGGAGAGATTGACTTCAAGCTTTATTTTTTCCCAGATATTTGTAATCTATCAAACACATACTTGTGTTTTTTGTTAATACGATGACAATATTTCTATATTTCTTAATGTGCTCCATTGAACGACTAGCTATCAGATTGTACACACAAACTAATGTCAGAGAGGACGGCAACTTTCTATTTTCACCTTTAATCAAATTCGCGTAATGTAAATAATACTTATCCATTCCTGTACAACTGGTGTGTCCTATGTAGATAGGAATAAGTATAAAAAAACTTCGGTTAGACCCCTTAGCCACAAATGACTGCATTTTGCTGTCTGACTTCTCCACTCCAGAGGCTGGGTGCAATAAACTGGCAAACTTGCTTATATCTTGGTTGGCACCTTCTTTTACCAGTTTCAGAATATCATCGAACTTTGCCTCAAGAACTTCATCCTCTATACGAGAGCTTATCTTCACCCATCTTCATTGGAGTCGAGTGGGTAGGAATCTCGCTATCACCTCCAGGACGGAACTTGACTACAGGCCGCTCATGCATTTCATCGAAATCAACGTATTCTTGTAGGTCATCAGACTATACAGATACTCAGTAATTGACCACCATTACATTTAACGGCCTCGAATACATTTCTTACAATCATCGAAGGTCTTCCAAACCTTTGACGCAGGATACGCATCGCTTCAGTATATCCTTCGTTTGGAGACATAAACCTGCAGCATTGTATAGCCCTTGCAGCAACACCAGTGCAGTACCTCAACAAATACATTAACTTCATTTCGTCATTTATCGCAAACCCACTCAACATGACTTCAAACTCCTTTACAAACTGTGGATAGTCAGTTGGGTTTCCATTAAAGTACTGAGGTTCAGACTTAGGAATTTTAAAACTTCCATTATCGCTAGACGGCGAAACATGGACTTCAAACTCATCACGCTGAGCATCATGCATATCATTAGAGTTAACATGCAGCTCATCATTACTTACCATCCTGTCTGCTTCCAAAACGCTTTGTCCTCTCTTTGACCCAGGCATTATTGAACTTGACCAAACGATCCAGAGAAGCTCCAAATAACACTTGTCCAAGGAAGACTTGGAGACGCGAGGAAAGACAATTGACAACAAATAAGACGAATAATTCCAGGAGAATTATCAGAAACTCTCAATGTCCAGGTCTAACTACACTGGACTTCTCACTGTCCTTGGGAGACTTTCAGGAACTGTGCGTAATAACCAACGCAAAAACCAGAACACAAATTGGTGACTCAAGAACCGTTTGTTCTTGCACCAATACAGAGCCAACCATTAGATTATTGTACTCAAAGTCCAACAATAAATGTCATGACAATAAATCACAATAATACTTCTGATAGTTTTTCTCTGTCCTCCAACGAACAGAACTTTTCCTTATCACTGCCCTATATAATTGGGGACAATCATTTTTTTCCGCTATCATACATTTGGTCTAATCGTTAATGCGAAACGCTATAAATTTCCATTATTGCGACTCCTCCGTAAAATGAACGAAACCTGAGTTTATCACACGTTTTTGGCTTTAAATTCTCGTCACTCTTTGGGTAATTCTGCACCTCTTCTGACGTTTCCTTCTATCTTCTCTCCTCTAAATCACTGTCGTGTACCATAGTGTCGATGCAGTGATGCTATCCTCTGCGTTGGTATTTCTCGAATGGAGGGCTAAGATCGCTACAAAATGCAACTTACAGATATTCAGATTATTGATAGGACGTCTGATAAGGATCAGTACAACCTCCGTCACGAAATTTGATCATCAAGAATCCAGTCCTATGTAACTGCTAACGTCACAATAATGTTAAATTTAGTGGTGACTGGAAAATTTCATCATTTTTGAGTCCTTTATGCCTCCTTAACCGATAAAGGTTGCCAATTCTGCAGCCCTTCTGTTTACTTCTAGTACCTGCATACCAAAGGCAGCTTCTCACCCTAAAGCAATGCGATCTTTTGTCATTTCAGAGTGATGAATTAACGTACAACAGACATATTGGGGATCAGATTTCGATGAAACTCATTGTCTTGCAACCTGTTTGGCTCAGAGGAAAATTCCCAAACTACTTACCTAGTTACTTGTAACTCCTTTGTGGATAAGATTTTATTGATTTTTATTTTTCATTTTTGATTACAGCTTGATTCCACACTGTATATTTGGTACAAGTATGGAATTTTCAGCATGGATATCGGTAGCCCAAATTTTGCAGACCGACCATAAATATCGGGTGTTCGTCGGCAGGGGATCGAACCTCGGATCATGTGCATGGTGGACAAGAGTCCTGATCACTGTGTCACCGACGAACAGCCTTAACTGATGGCGCTTCGAGAACAACTTTTTGCTCAAAATCATATCAAGGCACTCATACAACTTTCCTCCTTCATTTATATACATGAGTAAAACTTGATTAGATATTTGAATAAAATAAGACTGAGCACTCCAGTCCAGTCAATCGATAGGAAAATCTGAAATTCAACTGAATAAGATGTGGTACATTCAAAAATAATATTAGTTTTATCAACAAAAACAACAAGGTGGGAAGTAAGATGTTTTTATAGTAAAAATAAGCAACTTGTTAGAATTTTATAATGTGAATTGAATACATTTTAACATTATTTATTATCCTCTGATTTGAAAGGTACTAATATCTCCAATGTGCATCGGCGGTATAGCAGTTAGGACGTTTGCCGACCATGCATATGGTCCGGGGTTCGATCCCCAGCCGACGCACTCCTTTACCTCGCTAAGCCAGATATAAAAAGCTGGCAAAGAGGTAAAGGTTGGGCATGGGCCTAGCAATCCCATCCTGTAAAAATAAACACTGCTTCAGAAACTTTAAGCTTCTAGCTTTAAGCCCTATGTTCCACTGGGAACGCGAAGCAATAAAAAAATATCCCCAATATTTCTGGTATTTGCGGTGAGTCATTTTGGTTGCTTGTGCTGAGTGTGGACTCCGTGAACCAGGACTCAGTAATCAATCTGTCTCACTTTTTCAATCTATCCTGGGCATTTAGTCAAAACACTGCAACCATGCATGAGAGGAACGTATGAAACAATTATGATGAACTGACCTGGTGGTAAAGACTTTCGAAACGAACAGATTAAATAGTGTTAACGTCAGTTGAAACTAAAAGGATGTAATACGCGGCATTAGTGAATGATCTGTATCCAGGGAGACTGAAAATAACTTCAGAATGAACTTAAAAGTCAATGTGTGAACGAACGGTTAGCAAACAGCAGCCCAAAATGGCCGACTAACATGAATGAAGATGACCTTCGAGTACCTTATTCATCCAATGACCCTGAACATGCTGAATAATTTCAGGGATTTCGGAATTCAGCGTTAGTATGTACACCACTCACATGTTGCTTCTGTCATGGAACCTCACACTTAGGTCCATTTCCCAGAGTTTCAGCATTACTACAATCGCAGGGTAGGTTCTAAAGCCAGAGAGGAAACTTCTGGCTGCTAACTGCGTTTGGCCACTGGAATCAAAGCAGGTGTCTCAGTACATGCACTATCTCGCAATAGGCGGGATGTGACTATGGCTCGAAGGAATTATACAGTTAATAAGAGGAAGAGGCTGATTACCGGACGCCTGCAGCATGAATGATGCAACACCAGTGCTAGCACTTTGTTATGGTTATGAAGAATGAGCTGTTCGTAAAACGCCGCCGAGATTTGAATCGGCTAGTTAAGCTGCAGGTGGGAAGTCAAGCACTCGCGGCATTTGGCATGCTGTGATGCTACATTTGCCCATTTGTGTACGATTTGGAGTTGTTTAGGCACTCATCACTCCCCAACTTCACCGATTTTGAAATGTGTTTTATATTCTGGACAACCGAGTTGTTATTCCGTTTCGGCTTACAAGTCCCCACTTGTTCGGTGGGAGATATAAGTTCATCCAAAGCGATGTAGCGGCAGGAAGAAAGTCTCTTGTTTTTCAAGTACACGATTATAATACCCCATTTGTTAAAAATAATAACAGATTTCGGTGATGCAGCAAGCTGGATGCTGAAAACGTTATGACTTCCAAAATTACCACGCAACTCTTATTGAGTCTCTCAATGACTATGAGGACAGATCACCAATTTACATACCCTTCCTCTGTCTTGACTAATTAATGACTCTAGAAGTGTTTCGAAGTTATCTAAAGGGACAGTTTTAAGATCTCTCATTACCTTGGCTGAAGAGCACTAGCATATATAATACATGCATAAAAACCAAATCTTTCCCAAAATTATTCATCATTTTTTAAGAGCCGAGGAAAAATAAAAGAGTCATTGTGTGTAACTGAATGAAATATGGTCCTTGAAATGTGTTTATATATGTAAATCCGATGTACTCTCATCCAAAGCGCGTTAATCAGATGCAATTAACAAGGCTGTCTGTTTTGCATTGTTCTATGAGGGGCTATCTGGAATATGGTGACTTAAGTTTAATATAAGTTTCGTGCATATCATTTAATCTTTATCAAATATTCATGCATATTTTGCCACTTCAATTCAATGGATCGACTTGTACGCAAAATAAATACTAGTCCAAGATCTAAAAGAAAAACATTTGTGCAAACAGCCGACAACTTTGGTGTACCTCTCAAAGTTTTACTTGAGAGAGACTGTATAAAACCTGTACCTCGTATCGTTAAAAATATTTGCGAATACCTTCTGACTAATGGGCTAAATGCCCAAGGAATTTTTCGCATCAATGGAAGTGCAAAATTAATCGAAGCACTTAAGAGTACTTTTCAGATATCGGCAGCCGACGATTTGTATTCAATAGGAAATGTTGACATATACGCATTAGCAGGAGTTTTAAAGCTGTTTCTTCGAGAACTTCCTGATGGACTTGTGTCAGAAAAACATGGAGTTAAGTGTATAAAGGTAAGAAAGTTGTTGATTCTGAGTAGTTAGTTTGTTTATGTTGAACTTCTTTCAATAAAGTTGGTGGATAGTACTTTGGCTTTTAGGTGGGTAATCTGGATTTGTAGTTAACTGCAATGAGCAATCGCTAATTGATAAGAAAGTCCATTGGCTTATCAAACTTTGGAATAGCATATGGTTAATGTAAAGTATATCGTTTAGAAAATTACGCCTTGCAGTAATGAAATAAGTCTCAATATAATTGGAAAAACATTGTTTACAAATGTGAGGTTTGCATTTTCAGCAACATTACGGACTCTGATTTATCAGCATATTTGGAAACATTTCTTGAGATTTCACCACTGAATAAACAGTCATTAATAGCATTCAAAGTAGTTTCTGTGCGTTTTCAATTAAAGAGCGTTGATTTGTGAACAGCACACTATGTGACTCTAAATGAGGTGGGATATTAAGCTGGTTATTTATCAACTAGCTAATTTTATTTGCCTGGGCTCACTTTGAGTAATTTGGTTGTATGTCCATCGGGAACTTTTTAAGACGTAATATGGATAAGACAGGAAGTATATACGAAGTATGTTTCGTAAATGAAAATAAAATTGCTGCTGTAGTTTCTGGTTGTAATTCTTATTTGTATTGTTTTAGGCGTATTCATCAAAACGTGACCTTAGGTTTAGTGTGGTAGTTATCCGAAATAGTTATTATTAGTAATTAGCTTTGATAATATATTTTACATTGTTTGAATGTTCTTGTGTACTGCCATCTGAAAATGAACTTTAACAAGGGTAGTACACTGCTCTTGTAGTTTGCTGTCACCTTTTGACATACATATTAACCCACTTTATTTTTCCTAAACCGCTTAAGGTCGAAAATGATTTCATGTAATGCTACTCTTGAAATTCGCTAAATATTATTTCTGGCTTTTGTTGATGGTTTAGTGTTAATCTTTCTCATGCTGGTAGTGAAACTGATACAAGACAGAATGTTTTTCAAAGTCGTTTGGATTATGTGTTAGTTCATGTTTGCTTCAACTAATGGTTGTTACATGTTCCTATATCTGGTTTTGTGTATAACAATCGAACTCTTCAATCCCTGAGCCTTATTTTTTCCGAACAGAAATCCAGTGGTTTTATGGCATATTTGTCGCTTTTGAAAGTTTCTCATGTTCTACTCAGAAGTACAACAGTTTGGTTTGCATCAACTCTAAAGTTATGTCAACCACCACTATCGATATAACTAGTCGATAAACCCAAAACAGCACAGGATTTAGGCAAATGACTTGTAATCTGTTATTAATGCCAATTCTAGTTGTAAAGGAAAAGAGATTGACTGTCACTTCATCTGCAAAATAGTTTTGCTGATCAGAAGGCTTTTGCCTTTGCCGATCTTCGTCGAAAATAGTGTTAGCAATTGTAAAACTGATGTTGCCTATGAGGTCCGTATCAGTATCAAACAACTTCGTAAACACAATACTGAGTTGCATATCCAGATGGTCGCTATTGGGTGTTAGTGAATACGATGTCTTTTTCTAAAGTTTTAGTGCTTGCTCAAATCACTACAATTTAATCTGTATGGCTGATTGATTTAAATGGCCACACATCTACAAATGTAACTATGGAAATAAAAGACCTAAGCATAAAATAAAACCGTTTACTACAAAAAACGATCATGTAAGGTACTTTATCCTTTTTGCTGTTCCTACTAATTCCAAACCTGCTTAGAATTGTGTGAAGTGACTCCACTCCTTGTTACTTATAATACCCAATGAAACTACATTGTTCTTCCATATTACTGTTATTTTTGTCTCATATCTCTGTTTGTTTCGATTTGCAGTCCTTTTTACTTTCTGCTCTTGCTCTGTGTGCTACATGGAGTTTGGTGACTTGAACTGCTGCACATAGGTGCAAAGTTCTATGTTGAGACCAGTCAGTCTGTGAAGTGAACCAAGTTTGAATTCTTTCTTCTGTAACTATATGTCATATCCTTCTTAATCAGGTTATCGTAGAAGCGCATAGTAAGGAGAGAAACGAATTATTTCTGGTGGAATTTGAAGGGCGAACCTAAGCGTATTGTAGAGAACCGATTTAGTGGGTGTGAAATGCTCATCTGTGGAGTTTTACCCTGTAGATTACTTTTTGTATTCTTTTATGCTTATCTTTCAACCTATTTTCAGTTATTTTTTCTGCTCGTCGAGAAATGGAGGTATGAAAAACAAATTAATCCTTATGTTCCAAAATAATACACAGGTTGTGTGTTTATGGCTAACTCCTTCAATGTTTGTAAATATAATTCTTCGTATTCTGTGTTATAATTCGAAAGGCTTTATGCATGTTTTCTTATATATCTTTTAAGCTCAATCTTCGAACTATAGGACTCTGACAGCTTTAAATCGACGTGTTAACACACAAGTTAAATGATAAATAAGCGCCGAGGTTTGTAACGTAGCATGCTCAAGTTCAAATCCCGTTACTCTTTTCTAAGAAACCAATCAATAAAATGTTAACTAGACACTCATATTTACACTTTCGATGTGACAAAAAGTAAATATATGTTAGATATAGAAGTCTCTGACTGACTTAAATTCACTAGGTGTGCTTACGACTGAACGGACGTAGGAAACAGCTGGCGGTAAAACCATCACGTCCCCAGCTCGATCAGGAAACTAAATCCCTATTTGAGGAAGAACTAGCTAAACGCATATCTGAATTCGACAGCTGTGCTCACCCTGGAGAAGCCTGGAAGAATATTCAGTCAGCCATAGATACAGCTGTAAAAGCTGTGAATAAGGCAAATCCAAAGGTGAGTAAAAACCACTGGATTTCGACTGCCTCATCCGAACTGATAGATGCTAGAAGACTTATTCCGGCGAGCTCCGAATTCAATGAGGAGCGAAAGCTGCACAAAAGGAAACTTACTAAAAGTCTCCGCAAGGACCGTGAACAGTGGTGGCTGACAAAGGCAAAAGAGATGGAAAAAGCATCGGCGATAGGCAACACTAGGCAACTCTTTAGACTCATCAGAAACGGGTGGGAGAAGGCAAATCATAAGTGAGACTATTTCTGAGAAAAATGGCTCCTTAATTAGCTCTCAGGATAGACGCCTTGAACGCTGGAAAGAACACTTTGAGGACAATTTAACTTGCCTACAGCCACACTGAACCTCCCCAACATCCACACACACCCGAATGGGATATAGACACTGGTCCGCCGTCTGTAAGTGAGGTCACAAAAGCTATCAGTAATTTGAAACGAGGCAAAGCGGCAGGACCCGACGGAATTATTCCGGAGGTGTTTAAATATGGGGGTGACATACTAGTTTGTAGATTAACTGAGGTACTAGGCAAAGTCTGGGAATCAGAGACAGTGCCATCAGACTGGGGTAAGTCACTTATTATACCGATATTCAAGAAGGGAAACAAGTCCTCGTGTGATAATCATAGGGGGATCAGCCTAACGAACATAGTCTCTAAAATCCTAGGCTCAGTAATCATGCATAGACTAAGCAGAACTCGGGAGGAACAGACAAGGGAAAATCAAGCAGGCTTTAGACCAGGTAGAGGGTGCATAGATCATATCTTCACTCTTCGACAGATTCTAGAACATAGACACACTTTTCGGCGTCCAACAATTGTCATATTTCTTGACTTGAAGGCGGCCTTCGACTCCGTGGATCGAAAGGTACTATGGCAATGTCTGACTGTGAAGGGAGTGCCAAGAAAGTACATTGCACTAATCAAGGCACTCTATTCAAACTCACGTAGTCGTGTAAGGGCTTATGGGGAATTGTCATCTGAATTGGTAACAACCAGTGGTGTCCGACAGGGATGTCCACTTTCCCCATTTCTGTTTAACTTCATCATAGATATGCTGATGGAAGTATCCTTAACTGAACGTAATGACTTAGGAATCGACTTGTTACCAGGGAATAATCTTATGGACTTAGAATATGCAGATGACATAGTCCTGTTAGGGGAGGATGCTGACAAAATGCAGAGTCTTCTGAACACCTTGAGCAGCAATCTTCGTATGTTTGGCATGCGATTCGCCCCTGCAAAATGTAAGATGCTGCTACAGGACTGGACCACGTCAACCCCTAACTTAGTGATAGGGAGTGAAGTGATAGAACATGTTGACCACTTCACCTACTTGGGAAGTTGTATTAGCACCAACGGACTGATTGGCGATGAAATCTCAGCACGGATCCGAAAAGCTCGAGCTGCTTTCGCTGACTTACACCATCTCTGGCGTAGGCGTGACATCCGGTTATCAACCAAGGGACGTGTGTACTGCTCATCAGTTCGCTCCGTCCTTCTCTATGGCTCTGAAACATGGCCAATACGCGTTGAAGACATGAAAAGGTTGACTGCTTTCGATCATAGATGTCTGCGATCTCTGTCTCACGTTAGGTGGTTTCACAAGGTAAGTAATGTTGACGTTAGGCGTAGAGTGTTGGGCAAAGAGGGAAAATCAATCGACGAGGCTATAAAGTTACATAGACTAAGATGGCTAGGTCACGTGCTGCGCATGCCTAACCACCGCCTCCCCCGACGGGCATTGCTAGCTGATATAGGTTCAGGTTGGAAAAGAGCCAGTGGTGGCCAAACAAAAACATGGCATCAATCCATGAAATCCTTGACAGTTAAACTGAGTCAGGTAGGGAGATGCAGACTCCCGGGTTGGGGCCCTCGGGACTCTAGGAATCAATGGCTGGAGACAATAGGTGACATGGCTCAAAATCGTTGTCAATGGCTAGCGCAGATAATAATAATAATAATAACAATAATAATAATGATTTACTTTATTCCAAAAACAGTACTTGTGATACAGAATGGAATTTTCAGCATTAATCACAATATTGCATCTAATTTCCTCAAATTATAAATAAAATTAATCACAGAAAATTTTCCACATTTACAATAGAGGTAGTGTCAAAAACATGCAGCATATAAAATGGAAATAGCAATAATAATGATAACAGCTAGGGTAATAATAATAAGAATACAAGTGAAAATTGCCGTATTCAGTCTCTGTAATCTTTCATATTCCTTTCTACCATTACCCATTCTGTTTCACTCTTATACTTGTCAGACTGTATTGATTCTCTTCACTCATCTTCTTGTCTACCTCTGTGTGCTATTTGGAAGGTGGCAACTCGAACTGCCGCACTTCGGTGCCAAGTTCTATGTTGAATCCAGACAGACACAGACTAGATGTTTACTTATTTATCAATTATTTTTTTATATACTTTAAGATTGCCAAGGAATACGCAACTGATGAAAACATGTACATTTTTAAACTACAAAGTGTAATATGTACATTGGTGCATGAAAACTATGAGCTGTTGAAATATTTGTGTCGATTTTTGAACAAGATAGCTGAAAATGAACCGGTCAACAAAATGTCATATAATAGTTTAGGAATAATCTTTGGACCCTGTGTATTTCGATGCAGCTTAGATGTACAGGTAAGATTTTGTTCTGAATATTTTTTTTGACATATTAGTCCCGAAATGATGCTACTTTTGTATTATCCCTCTTTAAAACTAATCACTGGGTTTTTGTGTGGTAGTGTAAAGAAGTTGGATTTACTTAATTGTTTAGAGAGCTATACGTAGTCATTCACCTATCGATAATAATACATCTTGAAACGGTATGAATGGAACTATACTGAGCACCATAAAAACTGTAGTGATAGCTATTGAAAGAAGGAACTATGTTAGGTCATATATGTCTCTGAAAATACTAGAAGTAAAACACAAAACAATCCTGCAAAGAATATCCTTTTCGATAAATTCCTCTTCTGGCTCTACAATTATATATATGTTTATATACACAGAATATTCTAGAATAGTATTCAATAACAATATTAGTGTTTTTTAAATAATATCGATCTGTAAAGTATGATCATTGCAATAACAATTCATTAAAGATGCTTAAATTATAATAATAATAATAAAGATATAATAGCGAATAGAATATCAACTAAAATTAGGAAAATTCCACAAAAATTCAGGATTATTCAAACCTGGATGGCCAAGGTAAGGATAATGTATGAACTAACTTCTTTTTGATGCATAAATTAGGCTTGTTAATATGGATCCACACGGCCTCAGCAATATTTAGTAGTCGAACTCTTAAGGCGAAATCGAGATTCGTAGGTATGCGGTAAATGACCCTGAAAGCATGGTTAATGTCAGTCTTATGTTCTGTATCCACAGGATAAGATAGAATAGCGCTCCGAATAGATTTTATTTGTCCTTTGCTTAACCACACCTAATTGTACGGCCTATATAACTGGCTACACAGGAGCAGTTAAATTGGTAGATACACATGGAAGAGGCGAAATTAGACAGTTTGTCTTTTACTCCCGAACGCAGAAGAGGAGTGGTTTTAAAGATACAGCGTAATTCAGCAGCAGGGAATGCTCTTTTTACCGCATTTCTAAGGCGCTGTGTTAGTATCTTGCTGGTGTTGTCCCCAAGGAACTGCATCTGTAAGAATAAGGCCTTTTTAGGAACTGTTGGTAACTTGGGCTGCTTTGGTTTCAGATTCATATTCTTATCAATAAACTTTTCAGGATAACCATTTTCACTTAGCAACCGTTTAATATTGTTAGGTTCCTCATCAAGACATTCGTCCGAGCAAATCGCTCTTGCTGTGTGCACCAAGCACTTTATAAAATTGCATTTGTATTTCAAGGGCACAAAACTGAGAAAATGTGTGCACTGACCCGTTGATGTAGGTTTTCTATAAACACTTCTTATTGTGCTATCCTCTTTTCTTGTCATAAGGACGTCTAAAAATGGAATACTACAGTCTTTTTCTTTCTCAATAGTCAAATTTATTGCAGGATGTACCTCATTAAATTTACTCAGGATGCTCTTTGCTTCCTTCTCGTTTTACATAATCAAAAAAAGTATCATCCATGTACCGACAATAAAATTTGAGTTCATTAATAACATCCCTCAAAGACCCATTTTCTAGTTTCTCAAGGAAAATGTCGGCTAGAATAAAGGCAACAAATCTTCTGTGATATAATTTGAGTTTTGTTACATGCTTGCTCTTGCTGATATTTATGCTTATAACACAGGTGAAACTCAGCCGCCTCATACTTGCTACGATAGGATGCATCAATAGCATGTTAATTTCAGAAGGCTTGCAGTTTGAAGTGTGGCATAAAAATTTAAATAAATGAGCTTATGTGAAAGACGAATGCATCCATTACGTTTTTTTTGTTTATGTTTATTTAAAAATACCACTCTCACCTTTTGTTCTGAATTAATTTGTTAAGGTTCTGAAAAACCAGGGCTTGACAAATTGTGTAATGACTTCACTCATTCAACATGCGGATGCCATATTTTTGCACCATCATAAAAATGATTTCCTCGTATTGGATCGCTTATTTAAATTACCTGAAATTGTCTCCAGCTCAGCTTTACCCAATTTTGAAGATCGAGTCCAGTCCTCATGTGATACCTTATCGGGTTTAAGTCGCATTTCTAGCGCTATACCTATTGAAAGTCCCAATGAAAACGAGGTATTAAGTCTGTCAAAAACAATGCCGTTGATTTCTAAAAATTCAGCCAATCCTCACAATTTGGAGATGCATCACCAAGTGGACGTGTTACCTGACTATTCTCCTTGTAAACCGAAGATTTCACGGACAAATGTTAATCCTGCCAGACCGGGTTCATTGCATGATATTTCACTCCAGGAGAAAGGATTTTCCCGTATTAATTCTCCAGAATGTTATTCCACACCACTAAATCAAGACAAAGAAGCTGCCATAACTCCATCAACTTCATCTACATCTAGCCCAGTCACTTTTGAGATTTCTACTACTCCAACTTATACGAGTCGAAGCAATTCTGTTTCTCATGATGAAACGGTGAATACTGAAGGAATTTCAGAGTCAGATGCAGAAGAACTTTATAAAAAGTAAGTTGATATTTTTTGCAATTTTTCTTGATAATACTTGGAAATTTTAAATATAGTTAAACTAACTAGAATTTTAGTGAATGCTTTATTATTTATTTACTATTAGCAGGAGCTTGTACCTGCACTCACTCTTGCGGGTGAACCGCTTGAAGTTGTTGATAAGTTTGTGTATCTGGGTAATGGTGTGAGTGCTGGTGGAGGGGTGACGGATGAGATTTCCTACCGTCGGTGGCACAGTGGTTAGGACTCTCGCCGACCATGCAAATGGTCCGGGATTCGACGCACACCTGATATCTATGGTCGGCCTGCAAAATTTGGGCTACCGATATCACATGCTGAAAATTACATACCTGTACCAAAAAATACGATGTAGAATCAAGCTGTAATCAAAAATAAAAAAGGTATAATGAAGGCTAGGGTGGCATACATCAACTTCAGCCACCTCTGGCGCCGTTGCGACGTTAACCTGGCTGTCAGAGGTCGGGTATACAATGCTGCGGTGCGGGCTGTCTTGCTCTACGCCTGTGAAACCTGGCCTCTCCGAGCTGAGGATGTGCGGCGACTCTGCGTGTTCGATCATCGCCGTCTCCGCAGGATTGCTTGCGTTCGATGGCATCGTCGCGTGAGTAATTCTGAGGTTTGGCGGCGTGTGTGTGAACACAGAGGAGATCACCATTCATTGAGTGTCGTCATCTGGAAACATCGGCTCCGATGGCTTGGACATGTGCTGCGAATGTCACCCAAGAGGCTTCCGTACAGGCCTCTGTTCGCTAGCCAGCCCTGGGAAGGGATGGAAAGGCGGAGAGGTGGTCAGTCCATGACGTGGTGTCGTGGGATGAAGGATATTCGTGCTAGATTAGCATCGGTTGGTGCGTCACGACTCCCTGATTGGTGTCCGCGAGAATCGATGACTCGATACGTTTTAGGATATGGCCAAGAGTCGTAATCAATGGCGAACGTGTTGCAATTTCCTTCTTTCTTTCCTTCCCGATGATAGTTAACGAATACTGTTTGAACTTGTTGAGTATGACTGTTTTCCTTCCAGATGAAGTTCTTTATCCGTTCTCTACTTATATGTTTTACTTTTGACCCATGTTGTTTTATTACTATTGTGTGGCGCATCTTTCTTGGTGCCATACTGTACCAAGTTTTTTCCTGAGTTTAAATAAATATTTATTATTAACCCTTGTGATTTCTATAATCTTTTCCTGCAGGACTCCTGAACAACTGGCTTTAGATATTACGGATATTATTACATCTCTCGCAACAGGAACTTCTGTAGATATGTGGTGCTCCGAGTCACAACCAAACAGTTATTATAATTCTTCAGCTCAGGTGTCGAATTGTAACAGTAAATCTGACTATATTATTTCACAAGAATCAGACGAAAGATTGCCTACTTCAAGTTTATCCTCCCAATCACAAAACACACCTAACGAATTGGTTGACTCTTCTAATGCCAGTAATTCTACTAAACTAAGAAGGATTTCTAGCCAGAGGAAGTATTCCGCTAAAAAATCTGATCTAAGTCTAATCAGCACGTGGAATTCTATGCCCTCCATAGAAAAGAATACAACAGAAACCTTAGTCCAGTGTACAGATATCAATTTACTAGTAAACGACAAAACCCGCGAGAAATTTGATATTCCCTGCCAAATGCCAAGGTCAGTCGCAACAAACTCCACCAAAAATACATGTGAATTTTCACCAAGTTCTTTCCAAATTGAAAATAAGCAGGATGCTGATATGAGCAGAGAAGCGATGACAGATCTTTCACGTCAATCCCCTATGCCTACTGTGGACTCAGGTCGTTACTGTAATCTGCCAGATGCCAATGATTTGAATGAGTCATCTCCTAGAACTCAGATATCTTCACGTATTTCAGAGTGTAGTTTGACTCAAGCTATAAATCAGTGTTTGGACACTCACATATTTTCCTTCAAACAACAGGTTAGTGTATGGATAATCTATTGTAAAAAGAGGCTAGTAAAATTTGATTTTATGCACAGATAATATGTGTTATTGCCTTGAGTAGTACCTCATTTTTTATTACACCTAGTAATGATAATAATAATTACTCCAATGGTTGTACCGTGTTTGATAAAACGAAGGGAATGTTAATCTTGAACTCAAAAAGAGAACCAAGCTCTCGATTGATGATATAGTATTAGGTGTTCAGTCATGTCTAACCTCCACTGTGTTAAAATTTCAAAATAAAATATACAAACAAACGAGTTGGGTGGCAATGAGATCACCAATATCCCCATTATAGTAGCACATATATTTATGGATAGTTAGTTGGGAACATAAGCCTCTTAGAATGTGTAATCCTGCTCCTAGTTAGGTTTTGGTGGAGATAGGTGGATGACACATCCACTGTATTGAATCCTGAACATATCTTTCAGTTCTACACACATATATGTACTCATTAGTAGACGGAATCGGATTTTCTTCTGAGTTGCAAGACGAACAAGGTGAATTAGCCATGCTAGACTGCAGAATAAAACGAAGAAAAGGTGATAGGTTTAGATACTAGCATTTGTACGAAACCGACACACTGTAAAACATACTTAAACTTTAATTGATTCCATTCATAATCGGTCAAGATAAGTTTAACTAAATGTCTGTATAATTGGACCATCTAACTAAGTCAGAAGATTTCAATAATGAAATCAAACAAATGAAGGAAGTAGTACTGGTGAATAATTACCCAGGGGAATTTATTCAAAAATGTATAAAGAACCATAGAAAACCAAAATTAGCAATAAAAATGACAGAAACAATGTAGAATTCAAAGCCCCTGTGGTTTTATTTATTTCTTTACGTCCCATGTGGAACATAGGGCTTCAAGCTAGAGCTTTGAAGTTTCGGTAGCAGCGGTGTTTATTTTTACGGGATGAGGTTGCTAGTTTCATACCCAACCTTCCCTCTTTACCAGTCTTATTACTGGCTTAGCGAGATGAAGGAATGCGTCGGCGACCAGAGGTCGAACCCCAAACCACACATGTGGTTAGCTAGCATCCTGCCGTTGTACCACAGACTCACTAGCCCCTGCGGTACTGCTTCACAAAGAGGAAATATCAGAGGCCTTATGTAGGATTCTCAATGAGGATAGAATTAGGTTGATATTTAAACCAACCAAACAACCAATTCTACCAAAGATAAACTTTGTCGACTCAAGACCCAATGGATCCACTTAAGGAAAACAATGTTATTTACCAAATACCATGTGATAACTGTAAATGAGGTCGACTACATAGACGAAACTAGTAGATTGGAGTCAACTGGATTATTGGAACAGGAATTTAGTTAGAGCTAGAATGAGTGACCCTGTTAAGTTAAATAACCCAGGAAACAGCTCTGCCATAGTATTGCACTGCATTCGTTTGCATGTACCCACACAATAGGGTGGAACAGGGTGAGAGCATTAAAAAGTAGTGTAGTTAGGTGGAGAGAGAGAGAGAGAGAGTAAGGTTAGTCATTGAATGCTTGTGTATCGATTCAACACCTCACACGCAACGCCTAAACTGGAGATATGGAAAGTGACAACAAACAACAAGGCGAAAAGAGAGAAAAATGCATTTATATAGCAAACTAAATTGATGTGATTATAAGCAATCATTTGTGCTCAAAACCTTTTCATTCAGTTGTTAATACTGCATCACTATGTGGTATTTCAAATAAACTTATCTTATATGGAACTTTCTGACAGATATACTGGTGTGGATGAACTTCATTCAAAAATCAATAAAGAGGAAGTTACCTGGTCTAAGAGTTGAATATCAGGTCAACGAGACGATCAATAACAATATAGGGGAAAGAAACGATATGAAAATCTCAGGAGACAAATAATCACACAAAGAATCATTTGGGAACACAGTTATTATTTTATTCAAGTGATGGTTTGTAGGGATTTGATTCATAGAAAATTATTTCCAAGGGCATATTTCATTTTAAAGTTAGAGCTGAATATGTTATCTGTCTATTGGTAGCTAATCAATGTGGTCTTATATGTGTATCGGATGGAGTGCATGGTATATTCACTGAATTGCCTGACACATTAGCTACAACGTTTTTCATGATAAACATACTTTGGTTCGGAATTAGGACTTCTATGTCTGTCTGTTTTCGACATAGAACTTTGCACCGATGTGCACCAGTTCAAGTCGCCACACTCCACGTACCACACAAAGCAATAGAAGAAAGTAGAAATGCATAATAGAGACAGTAAACAGAGGTGTGAGGCAAAGGGATAGTAATAACGAAGAACAATATAGTTTCATTGGAAGTAATAAGTCACAGGGAGTGGATGCACCTGCGCTAGTCATTGAGAACGATGAGTTTGAGCCATATCACCAATTGTTTTCTACCATTAGTTTTTACCGTCCCGAGGACCCCAACCAGGAAGTCTACACCTTCCTACGTGACTGGCTTAGACCAACTGTTGTAGATTTGATTGACTGGTGCGATGTTTTTGTTTGACCTCCGCTAGCTCTTTTCCAGTCTGACCCTATATCAGCTGAAATTGCCCGTCGAGGAAGGCGATCGATAGCTAGGCATATGTAAAACATGTCCTAACCATCTCAGTCTATGTAATTTCACAGCCTCGTCGATTGATTTCCCCTGCTTACCTAGAACTCGATGCCTAACCTCAATATTGCTCACCTTATTATACCACTTCACACGGGAGATAGAATGCAGGCACCTATGATCAAAGACCGCTAATCTTTTCATGTCTTCCACTCTCAATGGCCAGGTTTTACCGCTAGCCATATAGGAGGACGGAGTGGAGTGATGAGCAGTACACCCGCCCTTTGGTCGATAGTCGGATATCACGTATACGCCAGAGACGGCGTAAACTGGAATATGCGAAACTAGCCCTCTGTATCCGTGGTGAGATTTCGTCAGAAATCAACCCGTTGGCACTGGCTGATGCAACCTCCCAAATAAGTGAAGCGGTCAACGTGCTCTACCACTTCACTTCCTATTTCTAATCTAGGAGTTAGTGTAGTCCAGTCCTTAACATCATCTTGCATTTGGCGGGAGCGAATCGCAAGCCAATAGTTGTGACTGTATGTCGGTTCAGTTGTAACTTAAACAGCCGGTGTATTACTTAGAAAGATAGCACATTCAAATGAAATGTAGTATACGTTTCCTTTGAATAGAAAATGCATATTAACGTAAGTTTAGAACTTGGTCACTACGGTAAAATGTGATTCCACATTAGATAAGTTTATTTGAAATACCACACAGTGACGATGCAGTATCAGTAACTGGATGACAGGGTTTCGAGCACAAATTGTTGCTGATAATCATATCAATTTAGTTACACGGCTTCATGATTTGTCTTATATATGTTTCTCTCTCTCTCTCTCTCCTTTCTCGTTGTTGTTTGTTGTCACTTTCCAAATCTCCAGTATAGGCGTTGCGTGTGCGGTGTTGAATTGATACACAAACATTCAGTGATTAACCGCTGTCTCTCTCCACCTAACTACACTACTTTTTAATACTCTCACCGTGTCTGAACTTATTGTGTGGGTACATGAAAGTGAATGCAATGCATCCAGTTAATAATAATAATTTACGATTATATATATATATATATATATATATATATAATTTTCTGTTTCTTCTATTTTTCCTTAGATCTCACCTTCTCCTTGCCGCCCTGGTAGTCTTCCTGACTCACTAAACAACACTACTCATGTGGTTTCTAATCATATAAATTCCGTTCCTGTATCAGCTAAACCCAAATCACCTAAACTGTATCATTCAGAAAAGCTGCTTCATGCCTCTCGTAATCGTCTTCCTGATGCTACTGTCGGCATTAATCGTGCCGATGATTCCAGCAATATAATCAAGGCTAATCAAGAGGAATGTTCTTTACCCTCTAGACATTCCTTCCACTGTGCTACACTCCTAATGCCCCTTCGAAGTGGTGTTGTACATCAAATAAAAAAGTATAACCAAAGTGCACCGACAAGTCCGCTAGTGGTTAACCCGCATGCTTCTTTTACATTCGAGCAAAAATCAAAACTTCTTGATGAATTTCCTAACAAACCACCAGATTCATTCCTCCTTGAATCGCCACTTCATCAGTCAAACACTCCACCTTCTCTGGATCCACAAATCGAAGGCTTAAAGAAATCTACTGAGAATTGCCAAGCGCTTCCTGTAAGCTGTGTATTATACTATCATAATAAATTTTTTCTAGGTGTTTTTTTTGTTACTGCAGAATATAAGTTCCTAAACTCTGGAATAGATTTAATATGGTAAAGTGTAAAAGTTTAGTTCATCGAAAGGATAATAATATGCTAAATGCGTGATTTCGATAATGACTACAGTACTAGTCTCACAGGCGAAAAACGCCAAACTCGAGGAGAAAGTAGCCAGCAAACACATGACTTCAAGTGAGCCTAGAGAAGACGGAGGTGATAAAGATATTTGGTGACCACCACCGCCAAAACCACTACCTACGACAAGTACCAATCACTATCGACGGAAGAAATTTGAGCGACGTCACTTCTTTCGCTCATCTCACCAGACAGCATTGTTTTGACTAGAGGCGACACCACGGGTGAGGATGTCAAAGTCAGACTGGATTGAAAAGGCAAGATGGACACTCATCACTCTAAAATCAGTTTGAGAATCTCCTGCACTGCACTCAGGATATAGAACGCGATTCTGATTATCAACACCATTGTTAAGTCAGCCATTCAGTCTGTGAGTCAGTTAGTCCTACTATATAGGTCGGAAACTTGCACTGTGCATCATGAAGAGCATTTCCAACATGTTGGTGAAGACTTTTATGAATACTTGCCACCTTCGTTGGCTCCATACTGAAGTTCAGAGAGATGGCCAGTCATCTGGCGAGAAAGAAATAGCAACAGGAAACTCTGGGAACGCACGAACCAATCAACAACCTATTGCATAACGGATATTTCGAGGAAAATGTTGATGGATCTGGCACACTCTGACGAGACCGTTCGAGTAACATTTCGCTCAATGTAGGGCATCGTTCGTTTGGCAGTTGGATTGGAAACGGGGTGATGCAGAGTGATACTTTCGTTGTACTAAAATGAGACCTACATGGTTCTTCCTGAAAGAGCAAAACGATCAACCTCCCACACAGTCAGTTTACTTAGTAAAAGAAATCAGACTTCGTTGAGTTACTTTTTCCAGACTGCCTAGTTAAGTGGAAAGAAAATGGAAAGGAAGAAAACATGCTCTAACAAATATTTAGACTTTGGATCATCACATCCCAGTCAGTGCCAAGGAATCAGTTGTCTCAAGTCTTCTTAGACGAGCAAATTCTTTGATAACAGATGAGGTGGAGAATTATCAAATATTACTGAAATTATCAAGAAAAATAACCATCCATAACGGAAATCAACACTAACATTAAACATGGTCGAAAACTCCTTCCGAAGATATGGATGTCGGCAGCTGTCATTCCATATAGATCAGAAAAGTCAGACGATATCAGAAGAGTACTCAATAGACAAAACATTTGGTTTTCTTCACAACATCAGATACAGTACAAAAAAACCTTGTCGATGTAAAAGACCAAATTCCAAAAGATTCTCAATCCAATCATGTCTACAAAATAAAACACTTGGAATATGATACCAATATACATCGGACAAAACTCACGAGAAATCAAGATAAGAAGAAATGAACATTTTAGAGCCCTTATTCGATCATCGAAAAATCCAGTTGAACTAGAAAAGCAGAAAAATGACACGCTATAGAGTCAGGCCAAAAAATTGATTTTGACCATATTGAAATAATCCAGAAAAATTTCAGAAATCACAAAGAACATCTGATATCAGGAACACTTCATATCTTATGGAATTTAAATTATCTGAATGGGAATGACGGACTAGGAAAGAATTTGATCTAATTCAAACCACCCTCACTCTCCCACATGAAGTGATAAAATCAATACAAATGCGACAAGCAATTCCATTATGTAAACACATGCTGTTTTTGGAGTTTCCTACATTTATCAGACGCAACGATCTACACATTGTTTTGTTATCTTTACTAATTAACCAACTTCACAACGTAAAAAATTACCTCATACTGAAAAACGATGGTTAAGTTTCTGACTATAAGCTGAGATTTTGTAAATTATGGTTTAAAAATACTTTTCTATAGTTTGGTTTGTAAGGATTAGTTATGTTTTACGAGTTTATGACGGATTGATATCAGTTAGAGAACCACTGAAAACCATGAAGTACTGGGCAGCTGCTGTTTCATCCTAGTTTGGGAATCATCGGAAGTATGCACCACCACTGCACCGGGTTTCGAACCCAGGATCTTCCGGTTACAAGGCAAGCTAGCTCGTATACCATTCAGCCACTGGGACCCGATCCAATGGCTCATCAATTCTAACTTCTACCAATTCGTGATTTAGCGCGACCCCAACCATTGTCGTTGGTGGGACATCCATCCACACACGTGACATCTGGATGGTCCTCACTGGTCACGACTTCTCACTAGAACTGACTCCAGGAAACTCCATCCTGTAGCAAGTCACTAACGAGCATCAGATTACTCTTCTATATTTTGATTTGTAAGGGTTACTTATATTTTTACGAGTTGATCACGGATTCATGAGCCATTGAATCAGGTCCCAGTGGCTGAATGGTATGCGAGCTAGCTTGCCTTGTAACCGGAAGGTCCTGCGTTCGAACCCCGGTGCAGTGGTGGTGCATACTTCCGATGATTCCCAAACTAGGATGAAACAGCAGCTGTCCAGTACTCCCTTGTTTTCAATGGTTCTCTAACTGATATCAATCCGTGATCAACTCGTAAAAATACTTTGATAAAGCTGTTAGCAGCATTGAACAGAGAAACATCAGTTAAATCAATATCGTTTTGTTTTTCATTCACTCATTGGGAAATTGTCCCAAAAAAGCTTTTACAGTGCAATTTTTTTTATATCTCTATCGGATTTCCCTGAAAGTCTACTTACAGTATCTGATTGTTTTTCTTTTTTTTTTTAAAAAATTACTCAGCTTCCTGAAAAATTCGAAGTGGAAACAAACCAAAAATTGAAACAAGAAAATTCACTAAGCAATAGATCATTACAAAGTCCAAATGATGAAAATGAGATATGCGATGAACTGCTTGGAAATCAGCCTGCTAAAAGCCATGCTTGTGTTAGACAAACAATAAATCCTAATAGTCAGAAAAATGCTTTCATCAACAGGACAATTGTAGGTTATTCAAAACACTTGAAGGAGTTGGAGTCAATCCCCTGTTTGTCAAACAAAAGTCACAGTTTGTCAGCAGTGAACAGCGGGTCAAACTTGTACATAGAAAGCCAATTGTTGTCTCCTAGACTACGGCATAAATTTAAGTCAATGCAGCAACTGAATAGGGTGAGTTATAGAGTTACCTTGTTTTTACCATTATAGTATAGTTACACTTACTTTTTCTATCGGTTTAACGTTAACTCATTAGTGTGATAATAAGTTTGCTTTATATTTTGATGGATTTTATGACTTCCTCCTAATTTAGTAAAAAATTAATCGTGCATGTTCAATACTTTATATCTTGTTGAAATGGACTGTTGTTGCAGGAAACAACATCGTCAACACTCGTCTGTAAGTGAGTTGGTCCATGAGAGAAATTGTTGCTTATTACATGAGGTTACTTATTCAAGTATTTCATACAAGAATACCCTTTTATAAATTTGAGCAAAGAAAGAACAAACACTGGTGCAGAATAGCCATTTTTTTCCATCACGTTCCCCAGTGGAACATAGGGTTTCAAGCTAGTGGCTTGAAGTTTCTGTAGCAGTGTTTATTTTACAGGATGGGGTTGCTAGCGTCAAGTCCAACCTTTCCTCTTCATCAGTTTTATTTCTGGCTTAGGGAGGTAAAGGAGTGCGTCGGTCGGGGATCGAACCCCGGACCATATGCATGGTCGGCAGAATAACATGGATCCATTTTATTTCGTTGGTTCTCATCATCTGCATACAACCTATAATCTTTAATAAGTAAAAGTTGGCGTAAAATTTAACATACTTTTGTCACCAACAAGCCTATTATAAGCGTGTCATGGTGAGGTAAAACATCAAGATGGTAAAGTATCTGAAGTATTACAGTACATACTTCTTACATCTTGTTAGAGAGAAGTTTCTAGAGAATTAATTGACAATTTTGTTGTTACAGTGGTAACGAAAAATTAATAACAATTATATAGTTAGATAAGACAAGATCAAAATTTGATGTGTTAGAGGTCAAATGAAAAAAGTGATTATGTAATGTGGTGAGTGTGACTCATAAGGCCTACGTCGGATTCTCCAAACATGTATGAAGGAGCTTCCAGTTAAAGGGACCAATTGAATAGCTTAAGCTATTCAATTACCAAACACTTGATAAACACTGGACACCGAGTAGGCGCGCTGGGATCATTCAAAATAAATGACAGACAAAACACCTAAAGTCTTCTGCGGTTTGCTGAGGTTATCGCAATAAAATGGTTAAAACCTGACCTATGTGTCCAAAAAGGCTCTATCCTTGGACTCCAGTTGCCCTGGTGACTCATCACTTAATAACTCTTGGTCTTCTAACTTCATTAACTTATCTTTTTAACGCTCCCCCTCACCTCGTTTCCTCACTTTGACTTCTATAAGAGATAATTATTTTTCTTGACTTTCTGTGCGTTAGTGGCACGGTGGTTAAGACTCTCGCCAACCATACACATGGTCCACGATTCGATCCCCTGCCGACGCACACCTGATATCTATGGGCGGCCTGCAAAATTTGGGCTACCGATATCCATGCTTAAAATTCCATACTTGTACCAAAAATACAGTGTGGAATCAAGCTGTAATCAAATGAAAGAAAAAATCAAAATCATATTACATAATCACCTTTCCATTTGACCTCTTACACATCAAATTTTGATCTTGTCTTATCTAACTATATAATTGTTTTAATTTTTCGTTACCACTGTAACAACAAAATTGTCAATTAATTCTCTAGAAACTTCTCTCTAACAAGATGTAAGAAGTATGTACTGTAATACTTCAGATACTTTACCATCTTGATGTTTTACCTCACCATGACACGCTTATAATATGCTTGTTGGTGACAAAAGTATGTTAAATTTTACGCCAACTTTTACTTATTAAAGATTATAGGTTGTATGCAGATGATGAGAACCAACGAAATAAAATGGATCCGTGTCATTCTGCACCAGTGTTTGTTCTTTCTTTGCTGAGACTTATTCGCGTATTGACCTTCAGGGAATTGATTGGTTACAAGGTTTCGTTATGAGCTGACATCAGTTACAGAACCATTGGAAAACCAGCCGGGAGCTCTGGACAACTGTTTCGTCCTAGTGCTTGGGAATCATTGGCAGTAGGTACCCACCAACTGGGCTTCGGAGCCGGGACCTACTGGTTACAAAACGAGCTTGTAAACCTTGAAGCGACTGAGACCCTATTCAATGGTCTGTGAATTCCAATCTCCGCCAATTCCCGATATAGCGTGACCACTAGCCGATGTCATCACTGGCGAGTTTTTGTCCTTAGACCGGACCTGATGTACCTCACTGGTCACGAATTCCCACTAGAACCCAGTTATTTATGTATACTACTTATCCTGATGACATGGATGGTTAGCTTTAGAAGTTATCCTCCAGTTAGTCGGATACAGTTCAAACATTTCTATGAATGTGTTTCATTCTGGTTAACTGATTCATTTTTTAAGCCTCTAAAAACTCGTCGTAACTTGTGTCAGTTAACTTATTAGTATTAGTGTTAATTAATTTCACCCTACCGAGCTATCATGACAAAATTGAATTCTTTGATTGGACACTAGGTAGGTAAGTAACTGGTGTCATGCGTCTAGTCTTTTGTTTGGTGTAGATTTAATTGTGTCAGTTGAGTTTGCAATGTGGCCACCATCCTAGTAGGTGGCTTAGTATCATGGTGCACTGTGTGTTGTGAACTTTTCTTATAATACGTATCTAATTATATTCATATCTCTACCGCTATTAACACTCTTTTTCCCCTTTATACGTTTAAGCCATTCCGGCTTCATTGTGAAATGAATAAAGCCTAAATTCTTGGTTCGTTCGTCTTTTCAAGATTCAAGCATCACTCATCGTTCTAAGACTCAGTCACCTTCGTAACACTGTGAATTGTTGTTGTCATTAGATGGTTGGAGGGAATCGTTAGGAAGCCCTGTCCTAGACCTAGGTTTCGTGCTTATTAGCATATATTATTATTATTATTATTGTATCCTTTAGTTCCTAGAGAAACACAGGGCTTCAGCTGCGCACCTCCATTGCCTTCGGTTTTCTGACAACTTTTTCATCCCGCTCCAGGTCTGTCCACATGCTTTCATCTCCTCCTCGCATGATCTCCAAGTCACCCTTGGACGACCAACTCGCCAGCCCCCTTTCGGGTTCCACTCGAGGGCTTGTCTAGTGATGTTACTTGATGGTTTCCTCAGAGTATGGCCAATCCATCTCCATTTCTTCCTGCCTTTTTGTTTCACAATCGGTTCCTGATTGGTTCGCTCCCAGAGATCCCTGTTCCTGATCTTTTTTGGCCATCTGATCTTAAGTATTGAGCGAAGACAGCTGTTAATGAAGGTCTGAAGTTTCTTTGAGATGCTCTTTATGACGCACCAAGTCTCTGTTCTTTATAGTAGCACTGACTTTACATTGGAGTTGAAAATCCGGATCTTATTTTTGATGCTGAGTGCTGTTGACCTCCACAGAGACTTGAGAGTAATGAAAGCTTGTCCTGCTTTTCCGATTCTGGCTTTGATATCCTCGTCAGTTCCGCCTGTAGTTGAAACGATGCTTCCCAGGTAGGTAAAGGCAGTTGTTTCTTTCAGGTTCCTCCCATTTATGCTAGCTGATTGTTGTCTGTTGTTGTTGCTGTTGATGTTGGCTAGGAATCTTCATCACCTCTGTTTTATCTATGTTCACTTGAAGTCCTATCTTTGATGCTTCTTTTGCCAACTTGTTGCTTTTCACTTGCATATCTTCCGTTTTTTTGTGGGAAATCAGACATATATCATCGGCGAAATCCAGATCCTCCAAGTCTTTTGTGTCAGTCCACTTTATGCCTGTTCCCTCGTTGGTTGCCGTTGTCTGTCGCATTATCCAATCTACTGCAATCAGGAAGATCATTGGTGATAGTAGACAGCCTTGTCGCACTCCCGTCCTCACTTCGAACGCTTCCGTAAGTTTCCCGTTGTGGATTACTTGGCATGCACGCAGCATTGTCGTATAACTGTTGGATGAGGTGTATAATTGTCGATGGGACCCCGTAGTAGCGAAGTAGTTGCCAAATGACCTCTCGATCGACGCTGTCGAAGGCCTTTTCAAAGTCGATGAAGTTGAGATAGAGAGGTGACTGCCATTCCAAGCTTTGTTCGATGATGATCCGTAGAGTGGCGATTTGATCAATACATGATTTGTTTCTCCTGAATCCGGCCTGTTCCGGACGAAGTTTTTCATCTAGAGCTTGTTTGATTCTCTCCAGGATGTGGCTTAGTATCTTGCTTGGAATGGACAGAAGCATAATTCCACACCAGTTTTTACATTGACTTAAGTCTTCTTTCTTTGGTAGTTTGAATAAGTATCCGTTCTTCCAATCCTCGGGTACCTTGCCCTCTTATTGGCATACTATCAGTGAACAAAGAGTATCTCCAGTCTCATGAAGGAACTCATGTCCCTTCTGAGATTTGGACCCGTATCACCCAGTTGTGGTGTAGTCAGAATCGTTACGACTTAGCTATTCGAACTTGTGGTTGACCTCCTACAGGACTGTTTTGGATATTTTGCACCAACAAACACGAAATCTAAGTCTTGACAGGGCTTCCTGCCAATTACCTCCAACCATCGAATAATAAACAAAGTGAATTGTTGTAAGATTATGAACCAAGTACTCTTACTTGCGAGGTCAAAAAAGTGTGGTGATCAACCGAAATACGTATAGTTGACCTGTTTGAGTACTCCGCAAAGAAGTCAGTGGTATACATGCAATCCCGTTTTTTTAAAATAAATACATGTTTACCAGCGGAACGTGATAGTATCTGATGGCATGCATGTTTAGTAGGGAAAATGATGTACACTCCCGGCAAATAGCAGGAACCTTACATTGAAATCTCCATTTTCACCTGTTTTTCGTATTACGCTCCTTTTGTCCTCCTTTTATGCTTTCTATACTGTTTCACAAAGAGGTTTCATTTCTTCTCTTCTGAACTTATTTCGTCGTTAAACTAGGATTCAGTATTCTCACAGGAGACATTACTTATAATGTACTACTCACAGAACATTGTCAGTAGTACACACCATACATCTACTATTGATTACAAACTTAGTAAGTCGTAGATGTAATCAACTAATGTCT